AGGCAATAAATTTAAATACTTCTAATTATAAATAGCATAATTAGCCTATATACTCGATAATTAGTGCAATAAATTTGTAATTAAATTAAATTTTATTACATACATTTTATTTGTTAAATTACCAAAATAATTGGTAGAATATTTTCTTTGTAAACTAATTCAAGAAAGATTACTAAACAAATTTTAATTTAATTAGTTTTATTTATTACTTAATAAGTTAAAGTAAAAAAGTAAATAAAACTTTTGTCAAATATGATTTAATTATTTGGTTTTATGGACAAATTTATGTCAATAAAAGCTTTAAACGTTCGTTCATTACTTCGGTATAAATTGATAGATAATAGTTACACAAATGAATTAGAACTAATCTAAATTAGGTTTAGTTAACGCAACGCTTATGGATACAAAAAAAAAAGAGAACTGGCATCGATATTTAGAAAGTTTCCAAACGGCTTCGACGAATGGACGGACACTTTTCTACTTTAAACATTCTTGCGGTTCATTAATTTTATTTTCCCTTAGCGAAAAAAAAACAACCATTATTTCCATCACCTTTTTGTTACCCTCCAATTTTGGTTTTATTCGTTTATCATATAGTATAGTAGATCGAATACAAAATCGAATTTCGCAAGAAACAAGACATATCAGCAAAAGAATGGATGCGAATTTTTATTACAGACACAAAGTATTTATTGATCTCGAAGCGAAATTAAATACACGTATATAGTAGGAACAATATGACCCCGAACAAGAGGTTTGCTCTAAATATTTTCGCTCCTTTCACATACACAAACACATTGCAATGTGCGAGAGAAAGAGATGTGGAGAGGCGTATTGGAAGAACGTTCAACATCCGCATTTAATTAAACGGAAAGAAAATACGAAGAAAGAGGAGAAAAAAAAGGTAAATATATAGGAACTGGATGAAGAATATTTCATAGGTAATTGCGCGTCCGGATCCATTAATTAGCTTCGAGCTTTAATTAAGGTTCTTGACTTGAGGCGAGCCGAAGCACAACAATAACCAGATGGATTAGCGCTGGGTTTAAATGGCGTAGCTTCCAGTTAACACGATCCAACGATTATCGTTTGGAAGGAACGAAGGCCGATGCATGCAAATCGTGGATACAAGAAGACTTTATACGAACCAAGGAATGCGTTAATGCACATGTACAAATGAATACAACAACAACAAAAAATAATAATAATCTGCTTACAAATGTGAGTTATGATGGATTCGTTACAAAACCAATTAACACGTTTATCGAACCAGATTCTTGTAAATCATTTTAATAGGGAAATAATAGAAAATTATAAATTCACGCATTTGATTAATTTCGAAACGCTTCTACACTGATTTGTATTTTTTTTAATTATTTATTTATATACAATTTTTACAATATTTTTTTATACATTTTTATTATTATTTACTTATGTGTATGCCCCTCAGGTTCGGTACGCTCCTTGGAACCGGTATTTTGAGCGGGCGAAGATTTCCTTAAAATCATATACAAATGCGGGTAATTATTATTTATTACGTATTATGTTATTATATAAATTTCTCTATTTAAATTACTTTAATTACTTACATTAATCATTCATTTATCAACATGAAATAATAAAGTGAAAATACATAACTTTTTACCTAACAATTCATTTTCTTCTACATTCACCGGTTCTGATAGAAATTAATTAATTATAATTCAATAAATCAATCTTTAATTCGTAATAGAATGAAGAAAATGAAAAGTCTTAAGTTTGAAACAAATAAATCAACAACAAGGATTTACTCATTATCCTGTAACACCACAGAAGTGTTTTCAATTAAATTCAATGAGTAATCACAGTCTGTATTTATTTTTATTTTATTTTTTTTTTAAATTTATTTATATACAATTTTTACAATATTTTTTTATACATTTTTATTATTATTTACTTATGTGTATGCCCCTCAGGTTCGGTACGCTCCTTGGAACCGGTATTTTGAGCTGGCGAAGATTTCCTTAAAATCATATACAAATGCGGGTGATTATCATTTATTTTTATTATGCTCACGTGTTATTTTCAATTCCAGATTATGCAAGAAGCTAACGCAGAAGAACCGTGCATTTAGCCATGTGTGTAACATGTTTATGCAATTAACGAGTTGCTTCCCAAATCCAATGAAACAAATCAATTTGGACAGTTATAATTTTATCAATTACATAAACCCTACATCTTCCCACACTCCTGTTTCTTAATCGTTTCCTCTTCAGCAATTTAAATTAATTCAAATGTTATTACATAATTATTTCACTTACTTCATGATATTTGAATGATCATTAAAAAGAAAATTTAAATTGATTTTATTTGTTTTTTATTTGAATGTTAATAGAGAATTTTGTTTTATACTTGTTTTAAGTAAAAAATAAATGTTCTTAAACAAGTATAGATTCAATGAAATTATGACTATTTATATTAAGTTCAAAAGAAACAAGATTTATCTTAAGTATTATGCAGGTAATAAACACAAATAATGAGGCTTCAGCTTCAAAAACATTATCCTGCGGTATATCGTGATTGATTTACAAGAAATGTATTTGTTTCTATTTGCACAAAACAAAAGACTTTGAATTCCATTCAAATCGAATCGGAAATGAATGGTTTTACAAACTCAATCAAGTTTAATTCGTTCGTTAACGTACGCAATCATCCTAGAAATACATATTGGATTAGAATGTACAACATTCATAAACTCACACACACACTTTCTGCACTCTAGGGAAAATCGAGTTAATTAATATTAATTGATTTTGCATTTATTCATTCATTCACTTTTTTTTTCAAATCGGATACGTGCCATTACTGTATTGTTTTTTTTTGCAATTTGTACCGTAATTGAGCATGAAGAATAAATCAACTTCGATGATTTCTAAGCCTGAAACTAAATTAGAAATTTACCTACACACTAATTAAAAAAAAATATCTATTTGTTTTTCAAGTAAATCAGTTTTTTTAATATTTAATCATCTCAACTTTTCTAATTTTTCGAAAACATTTTAATAGTTATTAATTTTTATAATTGTTTTTTTTTTTGGAAATACATCAATTTTTTGAACTTTTTATATATTTCATGATTAAATAAGAAACAGTCCTCATTTTTCTATTAGCACTATTACATAATAATAATTAGTAATTAAATTTGTAGTATTTTTATAAATTAAACTTATTTTTTTTTATAAATTTTATGATTATATAATAATAATGGGTTTAAATAAAACTTTTTTTTTATATTGATTGCGTGGACGTAATAGGTTTAAACTAATAATTAGCGATATCAAAAAGATTGAAACTGTGCACTAACAGTGGTAAAACACATTCTAATTCATGTACAGCCGGAGGTGAGACCTTTCTGGAATGAGATCACCATATTTTGTATAGTAAAATTAAGAGAATAATGTCGAACTGTATATTATATCAGCCTAAAACGGCGTACATTGCCGATGCAAATGATAAATGCACTTTCTAAGTTCAAAAATTAGTATATTATATCACACAACCGAGTTGCATGCATACATTATCTCAATATTTGTTAAATTAATTTTCCTATACGTTCACCGATTGTGATAGAAATTAGGAAACGCAAGACACAATTTGCAAAATGCACTTTCACGGGAAAAAAAACGGACATGAGGTGCATTCAATTCGAAACATGTATGCTTAGAACGAAAACGGTTTTTGTTGTGTGTGAAGAAAATGCAAAATTTGCATACGGAAAACGGGAGGAATAAAAAGAAGGTGAGTCTCTGGATGGATGCCAGTAATTGGCTAATAATCAACAAGGTGTGGACACTCGGACAACTACTGTCACCACTAAATTAAGCGCTTTCTAACACGCGGTCATTTCGGGAAATTAGGAAAGTTGAGATGTTTATATTATATCGAGTAATTAATTTTTAATAAGAATGTTTTTTTTTCCCTCTTTCCACGAAATTGCATGCAAAATTTACGCTTTGCATGATAAAATAAAATACGTTGAAAATTTCTCTATTTAAATTACTTTAATTACTTACTTTAATCATTCATTTATCAACATGAAATAATAAAGTGAAAATACAAAACTTTTTACCTAACAATTCATTTTCTTCTGATAGAAATTAGTTAATTATAATTCAATAAATCAATCTTTAATTCGTAATAGAATGAAGAAAATGAAAAGTCTTAAGTTTGAAACAAATAAATCAACAACAAGGATTTACTCATTATCCTGTAACACCATAGAAGTGTTTTCAATTAAATTCAATGAGTAATCACAGTCTGTATTTATTTTTATTTCATTTTTTTTCCTATAGTTACTTCCACTTCCTGCCATTTATTTAATGATTACTAATTGAATGCGAATTTAGTTTCCATATAAAGACGCGTATTAAGATACGCCATATCCTGCACTAAAGCCTATATAGATTATATGCAAATCCTATTCAAGAGGCAAGTCATCATGACCTGTATTTCATAACAACAACAATAACAAAATTTATATATAACAATTTGTAATTAATTAATTAATAGAAATTTATATAATTGTAATTTTAATAATTTTCAAAATATATATGTGATTGTTAATTAATATGTTCAAGCATTAATTTATTAAAGATAATAAATTTATTACTTAGCAATAATCGGACAGAACTGATTAATTATGATGTAGCCTTTCCAAAGCAAATCGTAAATAATAAATCGCTTGTAAATTATGCAATATTTCTATAACATTTATATGTATTTCCTTCCGAATTCTTACATATGTTAATCATTTTATTGAAAATGTTGTATTTTTTGAAATTATCAACAATTATTAACATTATGATTAGTTACTTGTAACATTTAGTCAATAACTCATGGGATTGCGTAAGCTGGAGGTGATTTTTAAAAAGGAAACCCGCTTTTACTGTTATCAAAGATATGCGTGGTAAACGCACGATTTTAAATTATCTTTAATTAAGAAATCAATAAGCAAAATAACATTTTATGCATGTGAATTATATAATTGTCGTTTATCCAATCATCATGGCTTTGAATTCTGAAACAAAAGAACAATTTAATTATTAAAACTTCAATTGGTTAATATAGGCAACTCAATGTGCTTTCTCCTTAGATTGTTTCTCCTAATTGTGATGTTTTTTTTATTAATTATTGTAATTACCTTCCCAATCAACGGTTCCTGAACCATCGGCGTCGATTTCTTCGATCATTTGCTCTAAATCAGAGGGGGTGATCTTATCGTCCAATTCTTTAAGGATTTCTCTTAGCAAATCGGTTGAAATGTAACCCAAACCTGTAAGAAAGGCGCAATCTCCTTCAATATACAAATAAAGTACAGAATAAATAAAATAAAAAGAAAACGGTTTGATTAAGAATGTAATTGTGAGTAAAATATCGATAGTGATCGATCTACATTTAGTAAAGGCGATCGCTTGGGAAAATCTGGAAAGGCGCTTTGCTCATTACGCAATTGCACGGACCAAAGCGCACACAATATAGGCCTTAGTGTGCATAAAGCACTTGGCGAAGGAAAAAATGTAAATAAAGTTATGTCATGGCCAGGAAAAGTATCCTTTTGCATGTCGCAATTGTTATCTAATTCGAATTGTTAGATTGTAGTTAAATAAATTGCTGACCTTCTTTGTCGTACAATCTGAAGGCGTCTTTGAGTTCCCTTAAGATAGCCTCGGTGTCTTCCTCCTCTTCTCCTAAGAATCTGGAAGCCAGATGAGCAAATTCCTCGAAACTCAACTCACCGTTTCCATCTGAATCGATCTCTTTGACGATTTTCTAATTGGATTTATATATTTTTACTACAAGATCAATAAACACGTTTAGAAAACTCACGTTCAATTCCTCAGCTACGACTTGATGACCCAACATGTCCAAAATTTGTCCAATCATATCGATAGCAATCGCGCCTTTCTTATCCAAATCGAAAGCCTCAAATGTTGATTTTAACACTGTTTTGTTACAACAATTATAACAATTACATAATGTTGATTACATTTATAATTAAATGATTTACTCACTTCTCATTTGATCTTTGGAAATGTCCAGATCCTTGGCAAGCGCAGCCGTAGCATCGTCCTAAAAACAAATTATATCACGAAAGGTAAGTAAATTGGTTCCATCTTCGATTGTGAGTGAATCGTAACTCACAATTGCAGAAGACATTGTTTATGATTATGTTATCTGCACTTAGCACACTTTGAAATGGTCAGTGTTCCAATTCGGATCTGCCCTTTATAGAAAAGCCGGTATTTATAGACCCGAAGGCGATATAACTAATTACCAGGTGCGAAAAAAGCAAAACAAACGAGTCAATCAAAACGACTACATGTTATTTATTATTTCTATTTATAGCCTTTTCTTCTAAACTGTGCACCAGCCTCTATTCTTCATATAGAATCATTATAACTACAATTACAAAAAAGGGAATAACTACAAGTATAATTAACCATATATACAGGAAAAGTAATTAAACTTAGAATTTATACAATTTTTATCTTTATCTATTTTATCTAATTAAACTTAACATTAAATAACTTAACAACATTTCATAAATCAATCTTTACATCTGTATTTTACTTTTTTATATCATTTAAATAAATACATTTTTATTATTACAAATATTAGTAAAAGTTCTATAATTACTTAACAATTTTATATCTTTGAACGTGCAGAGATTTTTAACAGATTCATTACATAAACCTTGATATCTTATGTAAGAATATGTTTATTTGCGTTGAATTAGTGAACGATGTAATTAATTTTATAAAAACAGCTTTTAATATGAGAATATGTATAAAAATTATGTATTTTCTTCAGTTCTTGGTACTTTATCCAATCATGACCGATTTAAATTCTATAAAATTAAAGCATTAATTAATTAAATTAAGGATTAAAGTATTGATTAGATTAGTTACCATCCCAATCGACTGTGCCAGATCCATCAGCATCGATTTCATCAATCATATTATCCAAATCATCGTCGCTTAATTTCTCATCTAATTCCCTTAAAATCTCTCGTAATACGTCTGTTGTAATAAAACCATTTCCTGAATAAAAAATAATATTTAATCAATTAATTCAGTTAATTAATTAATTGAAATTACCTTCTTTATCGTAAAGTCGAAAAGCTCCTTTCAATTCCAACTGAATTGCATCTGTGTCTTCGTCATCTTCCACCAAGAATCTTGCAGCCATATTGGCGAATTCCACGAAGTTCACTTCTCCGTTTCCGTCTTCGTCTATTTCAGTAATTACAGACTGAAAATTATTACAAAAAATATATTTACAATCAAATTGTACTTGAAAAACTTTGTCTTTTACGTATTTTTTTTTTGTTTTGAATGAATTAATTTATTAAGAATATTAATTATAATTAAAATATGTATTGAGTATTGCAGACGAGTACTCTCATTGGCGGTGTTTGAACTCCCCGTGAATGGAACATTCTTTTTATGTATGAACGATCGACCGAAAATAGAAGACCCAGATTTTCTTAATTGGTGCAAGATGTTTAATTAAACGCATATGAGATTTGTGAATAATAGGCCATGAGTTTAGTTCAACTGTTTCAAAACCATTTAAAAAGCATTCTTTCTATTAGTTTTTTGTTATTTTTTTTTTCATTTAATAATTGAAATGTGTTTATTAATGAAAATTTCTTTTAAAATCTACTTTTTCCTAACATTACATTATTTTTTTATTATTGAATATTTCAATTTAAAAGAAAACGTAATAATTAATACTAATATTTAAAATGTCTATAATTATAATCAAATATGAATTGAATTAATTCTAAAAATTCATATAAATATTGTTATTTTGATTCATTTCTTTGGAATAATTCTTCTATTTTATTGTATTTTTGTTCATTTCATCATACATTTCTGTTCTAACTATTTTTTTTTATAAATTACTTTTAAATTTAAATTATTACAAATTCAAATATTATTTGTTTGTAAACTTAATAAGAATTGATAAATGTAGAAATATGATCATTTATGTTAAATAATTAAGATTTTCTGGATATTTAGACACATTTTTTGTTATAATTTTAAAAAAATATTGGAAAATGTTCATTTCAGTTCTAACTATTTTTTTTATTAATTACTTTTAAATTTTAATTATTACAAATTCAAATATTATTTGTTTGTAAACTTAATAAGAATTGATAAATGTAGAAATATGATCATTTATGTTAAATTATTAAGATTTTCTGGATATTTAGACACATTTTTTGTTATACTTTAAAAGAATTATTGGAAAAAAGTACAGAAAATTCAAAAAATATATAAGAAAGTTGAGATCTTATTGACGTTTTGGATAGAGCAATTAATAAACTCTTGTTTCTATTAAAAATTGACAAAATACATGAAAATTTACCAAAAATAGAAAATAATTATATAATTCATACAAAAATTATGTAAGATCTCATAAAAGTTTTGAAATTTCTTTTAAAATCTACTTTCTCCTATTATTACATTACTTTTTTTATTATTGAATATTTCAATTGAAGTTTTGTTATTTTTTATTACTTTTTTTTGTAATTTAAAAGAAAGCAATAATAATTAATACTAATATTTAAAAATTTCTATAATTATAACCAAATATGAATTGAATTAATATGATAATTTTAAAAATTCATATAAATATTGTTATTTTGATTCATTTCTTTGGAATTCGATTTTGTTGTATTTTTGTTGTATTTCATCATAAATTTCAGTTCTAACTATTTTTTTTATTAATTACTTTTACCTGTAATTCTTCTCCAATTAATTGCGTTCCAAGCATATCTAAAATAGTTCCGATCATGTCCGTTCCAATATATCCTTTCCGTTCGATATCGAAAGCATCGAAAGTGGATTTTAACACTAAAATCAAATTACTTAATTTTTATCCAAATTATATAATTTGTGTAATTTGAGCTTACTAGACATCTGCTCCTTGTCTAGATCATCCTGTAAATAAAAATAAATAAATAAAAGGAATTTTATATAATTTTTTTTATTATAATTTAAAATTTAGTAGTATATCACATTTTTTTTTTGATAAATTCTCAAAAATTTACATATCACAAAAATAAATTGATTACCATGTCTTTTGAGGTGAATCGGACAATTTTTGATTCTTTATATAAAACACCTGGGCGAATACAAGCGCGAACGCGAAGAGGACGTTGCGGTTACGTAAAGTTTTTTGGGATGCTGGAGGATGGAGCTCTCGGTTATATAAGGTTCATCTGTTGCGTGAGGTGGGGATGCTCCGATAGAACAAGAGTGAGAAAAAGAAAGATGAAAAAAAAAACACTTTTGCGTTTGATTGTTTGGTCATATTTTTGTTTTGTTTTGTTTCGGTCCGTTGTTGTCTTTCTTTCATTCGTTCCAGATCGGAACGGAAATAAATCGCATCGCGAACCCAGCGACATTTTTAAATGGAACGCATCGCGATCCGAACATACTTACAAAACTTACAATCAAGAAAATGAGCAATACAGAGTTTCTACTATCTATATACAATATAGAGAAGAGTTACGTATACATATTTTTGTTTGTTTGTTTGTTATTTTAACACAGGTACAGAGAGGGTTCGTCTTTTTTCTTTTTTTTGGTAACTTAAGATAATTCTAATCCTTTTGGGTAGAATCAAGATGAGGAAATTTAGTCATCTCCACCGGTCATGACTTCCATGAATTCTGAAAGAGAAAATTGAAAATGTTATAAAAAAAATAGATTACAAAATTTATCATTTTTTCATATTTCAAATATTTTAATTGGTCAATTAATTAAAGATATTAATTATGTTAGTTTATAATTTTTAAACAATAAATAATTTAAAAAAAGTGTGGAAAAATGAAACAAAATAATGTTAATATTATAGTTAAAATTCTTAGTTTTTAGTATCAAAATTTACAAAATTTTAATATTATTTGTTTGTAAACTTAATAATAATTGATTTTCTGGATATTTAGACACATTTTTTTGTTATATTTTAAAAGAATTATTGGAAAAAATGCACAGAAAATGTAAAAAATATATAAGAAAGTTTATATCTTATAGACGTTTTGGATAGTGCAATTAATAAACTCTTGTTTCTATTAAAAATTGACAAAATACATGAAAATTTACCAAATATAGAAAATAATTATATAATTCATATACAAATTATATAAGATAAGTAAGATCTAATAAAAGTTTTGAACTGTCTAATAAATAAATTTACAAAATTATAGAATAGAAAATTACTATGATTATATTAATATTTTGAATAATTATTGTAAATGTGTTTTAGAAAATTGTTGAAAGAATATTTAAGATTTTTAATAAATTTAGATTTGGTTTACGTAATAATTCGTCTACTGTATTAATATTTGTGTTATGTGATTAGAGTTATATAAGTGAATGAATTATAGTGAATTATTTACCATCAAAGTCAACAGTTCCTGATCCATCGGAATCAATTTCAGCGATCATCATGTCCAATTCTTCGTTGGTGATTTTATCGTCCAATTCCTTCAAGATCTCTTTCAGAACACTGGTGGAAATGTAGCCGTTACCTAATCAACGTATAAAATATATTAATTAGCAATTGATTATTGATCAAAGAAATTGTTTCGTACCTTCTTTATCGTAAAGACGGAAAGCTTCTTTCAGCTCAGCTTGCATGGCTTCAGCGTCTTCCTCAACCATGAACCTGGATGCGAGGGTGACGAACTCCTCGAACTCCAATTCACCGGATCCATCCTCATCGACCTCATTGATGATGTCGTTCAACATCTTCTCATCCAAAGAGATACTGAGCATACCCAAAATGGTACCAATCATGACGGTACCAATACTGCCCTTCTTCTCGACATCGAAGGTGTCGAAGGCATTCTTCAGCACTAACATTAACAATTAACAATTAAATCATGAAATTTAGAATATTATTATTATTAAATACTTACAAGCAATTTGTTCTTTGTTCAGTTCTTCAGACTGAAAATCCAAATAGATTAATTTATAAAAAAATCGATTAATTAATTTAAATGTAATTACCATTTTTTAATTGTTATAAGGTATCCTTTTGGTGTGTGGATCAAAGATCAGTAAAAAAATCCGGGGATCACTAGTTCCGTACTCGACCAGAGATGCGCTAAAATTTTTGTGGTCCCTTTTAACGAATTGTTGGAATATAAGAGGGGACCGACACAGGAAACGTTTTTCCTCCTTTTTTTTTCTCGTTCGTTCATTCTTTTCTTTTCTTTCTTGCTTCCATCGTCTTACACCTTTCATCTTCGCCAAAGCGTTTTCGGTTTCCACAATTATAGTTCTTTTCCAATTTTAATTACTATATCGTCGGACCTGGTTCGAGCTTTACGAGCCGAAAATACATTTTTATTTATAAACGAAAACTATAGAAAATGCTACAAAATAATTAATTTTCCTTTGAGAACATAACGCGGCCAACAATAGACATTTAACACATGTTGTTTCTTCAATGAAAACACACGTAATGATTTTAACATTATTTTATAAATAGTTTTATAATTATTATAATTATAACAAAATAAAGTATGTAAAAAACATTAACAACTTACAAAAGAAAATAGAAACAAATTAATAATATTAAATTTTATTTATTTACAAATTTTTTATTGGGCCAAAATGTTGAAAGTGCAATGGAAATTATTTGGATTAAGTAAAACTGTGAAGCTGAGAAGAATTTAACATATTTATACAACAAATTCGTTCACAAATTTGGATTACAAAGAATTAATAACATATTATTTTCATACATATTTACATAATCACCAAAATTAAAATATGTATGGCATCATCATAAAACCATGAGCGGATTTGCAACATTCTTGGCAATCCAACTTTACAATCTGTTTGGTTTAAAAAGTTTAACAATGCGTAATGAAATAATAGCATTATTTAATAATAAATAGAAGCAATTACATCAAGAGATGAGCCATAATAATACACATTTTGTGCAATCATAAAATATTTTATAATATTATTGTTAATTTGAAAAAAAAATAAAGTTTCTGAAATATGATAACTAAATTGGAAAAATTCTTATATTTTTGTTATTAATTAATGTTAATTAACAGAATTTAAGTAAAAACAAGATTCGATAAGCAGTAATCATTTTATACATTTTCTTTTAATTTGTAAAATTCAAAAATTGTATTAAAATAAGTTTTCAAAAATATATAGAAAAAGGAGTATAGAAATTAATTGGAAAATAAATAATTAATATTTTCATTGTCAATTTATTATTTGTAGATTTCGATAATGATCTTAAATTTTACATAAGTTGTCTTTGAATTTGAAGAAATTCAAGGTTATCTTAATATTTATAAGAGAAGTTTACTATCCGCAGACGAAATTCCCAGACGTGAAGCAACGCTGACGATTTGTGCAATTAGAAGTTGTTTTTTTTCATACAGTCTCAGCAGAAGTCTTCCTTTATTTTGTTCCTTTTTGTTTGTTGTTTGGTTCACGTGCCGCACAGTGTTATACCCGATTTCGAATGCCGTTCTGGCATCAGTCCAAAAACGAATTTGCTGCAAGCCGAATGGTCCCATCCATTGGCTGTTTATTTTCACCAGTGTAAACCACTGTAAAGACACGGGAAAACGACAGCAAACAATAAACCGGGCTGAAGTGTTGAAGAGAGAAAGACAAGATATGTAGAAACGAACAAGTGGAAGCAGGAGAGAAGTACGGTGGGGGAAAAGCATCGACCTGCCAGGATATTTGGTATTATCTTATCGCATCTAAATATAAACCATCAATTATTGAAAGCAAACGTAATTATTAACGAATTTTACTGCTAAAAATATTGATGAAATCTATATAAAAATTTTATGTGAAACAGTATTGAAAATCCATTTGGATATCGTCCAGAAAACCTATTTAATAATAGCGTCCGTCAATAAAAGTTTAGAGAACGAATGCCATTAGTTCTGTGGAAACTTGTTTGAAAAATACACCAAATTGATCTATTGTTGTGTAATAGAAAAAATATAGATTAGATAGAATTTACAACATTTGATAACACTACTAATACTAACTATTATAATTACATTTGTTTGTAATGCAAAATATGAAAATATTTACTTTGTTATCCAGTTTTGTTGCTTCTATTGGGAATAATTGAAAATCAATCATTTGCGTAACAAATTATTGATTTTTCAATTAGATCGTCGAAAGTTATTTACATAATTTTTAATAAATATCTCAATATAAAATGGATTTATGTTAAAAAGGATGTATTCTGTGCACATTTGGTTGCATATAGTTACGTAATATTCAATATTCTTATTATGTAATATTACAAAGAAATGTTAAAAAAAAACTAAACTTTGAATTCTTATTTCCAAAGTCGATGATCTAATAAGAATATATGGATTAATTAAATAAAAATTGATAATACTATATCAATTTTTAAAACTATATATGTTACTAATGCGACAATCCACAAAATTCTGTGGAAACTTGTTTGAAAAATACACGAAATTGATCTATTGTTGTGTAATAGAAAAAATATAGATTAGATAGAATTTACAACAGTTGATAACACTACTAATACTAACTATTATAATTACATTTGTTTGTAATGCAAAATATGAAAATATTTACTTTGTTATCCAGTTTTGTTGCTTCTATTGGGAATAATTGAAAATCAATCATTTGCGTAACAAAATATTGATGTTTCAATTAGATCGACGAAAGTTATTTACATGATTTTTAATAAATATCTCAATATAAAATGGATTTATGTAAAAAAAGGATGTTTTCTGTGCACATTTGGTTGCATATAGTTACGTAATATTCAATATTCTTATTATGTAATATTACAAAGAAATGTTTAAAAAAAAGCTAAACTTTGAATTCTTAATTTTGAGTTTAATTTCCAAAGTCGATGATCTAATAAGACTATGTGGATTCATTAAATAAAACGTGAAAATATTATATTTAAAACTATATTTGTTACTAATGCGACAATCCACAAAATTCTGATGATGACTGTTAATCTATAGCTTTTAAGTAAGTGTCCTCGTATATATTTTGTGCTGCAGGATGACATGGTGGCAAAGGTGGCGGCACATTAACGACCTCGTAGCAATTCATGTTATCTATCCTATCAGATTTGGCCTCCTTCCAAGTGGACTTCCTAGTCGGAGGCTCGGCGTTAATATAACTCATTGCGCTACCTACAGACATACTGCGGCTCCTGACGCTCGGCCTGGGCTTGATTTTATCGTAGATAGGCTGTACATAAGCAGCTTCTCTTCTATCAAAATCTTTAGGCATTATCATTGCATCAGTCCCTTTGCTGCCCACAATAATAACCCTTTTATTACCCTTAATCAACTGCGGATGTTGCCGAACGCAGAAGAAAACTAGAAGACCACTAAGTATCATCGAGAGCACAAAAACGAGGATCGCTGCAGGGATTATAATAATCCTATCCTCGTTCATAATCCAAGCGCTGTGCTCGTAATCCAGTCCAGTTTTCAAACCGAAGCAGGAGAAAGGCGAAACTTTAGATTCGTTCTTAGTAATGCAAAATGTGTAGTCGGTATTCAGTTCTAATTGCTCTAGAACCACTTGATTCTCCAATCCGGTAAAGCAATCCATGTTGTACCGATTCGCAGATTCGAAACCTAATAAGCTGTAATCCGTAACGTCTCCAACGAATTTGATGTGCAGTTTCGCATTTTCAAATGTGAATTGAATTTGTATATCTATGTCCGAAAGATTAATCTTTGGATGATTCTGTTTAATAAAATTATCCGAATCAGATCTTGGAAACTTGCAGTTGACTGGTACAAAATGTTCCACTGGAGTAAATGTTGTTACTTCAGTTTCTTCCACAGTCGTAGTTACTTTAGATAGTGTAGTTGCTATTGTCGTAGTCGTTGGTAACTTAGTAGTAGTTGTCGTAGGTTTTTCGGTAGTTGTAGTTGGTAACTTAGTAGTAGTTGTCGTAGGTTTTTCAGTAGTTGTAGTTGGTAACTTAGTGGTAGTAGTAGGTGGTTTAGTAGTTGTAGTTGGTTTCTTGGAAGTCGTGGTTATTATTACCTCAGGACAATTCCCAAAATCATAGTCTTCAAATTTCTTTTTACCGCAAAGCGGAGGTAACTTATTATTTACGAAATTTGTGCTTAAAGTAAACACTTTAAACCAGTACAAACTACAGTTACATTTCCAACTGTTACCTCCAGCCAATAAACCATTTGCTTCAAAATTTGCAAAATCAAAAATTCCATTTGGTAAAGTTTCAATCTTGTTACCACTCAAATCCAGCATTTTCAAACGTAATGGATGAAAAGCTTTAACGTCTACAAACTTCAGATCATTACCAGCTAAAATAAGATTCTCCAAGTTTTCCAAGTTTTTAAAAGTCAAAGCATCCAAATTGTGAATATCATTTGAACTTAAATCAATATTTTTCACTGATTTTATTTTCTCGTTACCTTCGCCAAAGAGGTTTTTCACTTGGTTATAGTTGGTTAAGAATTTGTTCATTTTAATCGTTGTTAACGAGTTTAATCCTGTAAATACTCCAGGATCGGCTCGGAAATTTTGTACGGTGTTTTTATTATTGAATTCAATCGTTAAAGTCTTCAGAGAAACTAAATCGCTTAAAGTGTGAGCCTTCAAATGCTCGATTCTTCCATCGAATATAATCAGATCTTCTAAACCTTTGAAACAATTGGCGCTGAAAGCGCCTTCTTCGATGGTAGTCATATGACACTCGTGGAATTTTAAGATCTTAACATTGGCCTTAACTGATTTCAACCATTTGGCTCTAATGGTTTGATAAGCAAAGTTGGTGTTCATTAAAAGCACGTTAATATCTCGACAAATACTCTGCAATTAATTGATGATATCGTAATTAATCATTACATAATTTATTTGCTAGACTTACCGGTATTATTTTGTTGATGAATTCCTCGATTTTGGTTTCATCAATTGATTTGCAGGTGATGTTACAACCATATGCACTACAGAAATCATCGTACGTAGATATTGATTTTTTCTCTCGTTTAGGACAAACTTCGCACAGATGCGGTCCCGATTCTATGGTGAATATGATGACTGAAATCATGATCGCCGAAAATATGATGATTGCGACGCATCCAGCCAAAGTCCTGTTGTGTATTTTGAACCATCTCTTGAAACTGAAAAAATATATACTTTCTGTTACATTTTTAACTAGTTTTTATTGATACTACCTGAAAAGCTTCATGTCTATCATGAACCGCGAATTATTTCAGTATGAATCTGCCTCATGTAATTTTTCCTGGCCGAAGCGTTAATTTTTCCCCGCCATATGTTTTAACAAATAATAACGCGAGATTATCTTTGTGTAATAATAATAATTATCATAATAACGGTGAAAGCTAATTGATGTATCGATTACAATTTAACTCAATATTATTATTCTGCGATGTTAGATAATGCTTTTTTTTTATCTATTGGAGCGCAGTTTTGGACAATTATCAATTAATTTCTGAAAATTAGTTGAAACATATTTTTGTAACAATATAAATATTTATATTTATTACTAGGCACAACCTGCGTTGGAGACCCCATATTGACCCTACTAAGAAAATAATAACATTTTTTTGGAGGCCAAAAGCGTCCATCTTACGCAATCATGAAATGCAACAAAAGTTACGTAATTTTCCGGTAATTATTCAATTTTTTCCACGACTGGTAATCGATTATTTTACAAAAGCATGAAGGTATGGCAACAAATTGAAAAATTAATTAAATAAATGGCTATATTCATATATATTAGAAAATTTTAATTTATTGTTTTAAAAAATAATTCTTTCGCTTTAGTTTGCAATAAAATACGTTAGTTTTGGCATTGCATTCAGAATAATGTGGAATAATTAGATAATCCAATGAAGACCTTATCGTCACAGCTGCACAAATGCATTTATGCTCATTTTAATCTCTGTATATTCTAGATCAAAATGTATATAAAAATATTTTCTGGGAACAAGTTTTTTTATGAAACTACAGTACATTTGCGAAGACGTTATTTTTCCATCTGTCATTTGTGAATTAGCAAAGTTTATTAATTATTTATGGCTAGGCTATAGCAGCTATAATACTATATTTACGCACATTTGAATCTACGTATATTCAAGATCAACATCCATGTCTAATATTCTCGTGAGAGCTAATTTTTACGAAAATACAGGCCATTTTTGAAGACGTTATTTTTCCAGATGTAATTTGTGAAATATCAAAGTTTCTTAATTAATTATGAAGACATCATTCCAGCTACCAACGTATATGCATGCTCATTTTAATCTGTGTATATTCAAGATTAACTTCCAAGTCTAAAATTCTTCTGGGAGCTTATGTTTACGAAAATACAGGCTATTATCTAAGACATTGTTTTCCTATTTGTTCATCAAAGTATGTACATGTATGTTTGGTGGCCTGCACTTTAGGCGCAAAATATATTTTCCATTTCTTGTGACAGATGGCGCCATCTCTTAGCAATATTTCAAAGTTTGTAGTTCAGGCATTTTGGCGCTGCACAAAATCCACTTCCTTAAAAACGCTCCATTTTAAATAAGCAAGCATGTCAAAGTAGTGTATGAAAGAGCCTAATATTATTACTTTCATCTAATAATCTAAATGCTAATTACTTTCTGAGTTATATGCATTTTAATTTCGAAGTGCAGAGACATCTGTCGGAATATTTAGGTAACATTTTGCAACCATACATACATAAAAATAAGAAAAGTTTAAAAGTTAAGCAACTTAATGTATATCAATTTTTTCTTATTTTATTACAAAATTCTATGAGGGTGTACGTTACGCAAATTGTGTAGAAAATGTTGCGTTATGCGGTTTTTAAACTTTTCTCGTTTTTGAATTCACATATAGGATCTATGCATATCTATGTACAAATAGAAAAACTTAGATAATAGCCTGTATTTTAGTAAAAATTAGTTCCCAGAAGAATGTTAGATTTGGATGTTGATCTTGAATATACAGAGATTAAAATGAGCGTACATATACGTTTGTAGCTGCAATGGAGTCTTCATAATTAATTCACAAATATTGGTATTTCAGAAATGACAGATGGCAAAATAACGTCTTCGAAAATGGCTTGTATTTTCGTAGAAAATAACTCCCACAAGAATGTTAAAATTGAATGTTCATCTTAAATATACGTAGATTCAAATATTGGATTATAGCTGGTATAGCATCTTCATAATTAATAAACAAACTTTGTTATTTCACAAATAACAGCTGGCAAAATAACGTCTTCGAAAATGGCTTGTATTTCGTAAAAATTAGCTTTCACCAGAATGTTAGAAGTGAATATTGATGTTGAATATACGTAGATTCAAATGTGCGTAAATATTTGATTATAGCTGCTATAGCGTCTTCATAATTAATAAACAAACATTGTTATTTCACAAATAACAGATGGTAAATTAATGTCTACGAAAATGGCCTGTATTTTCATAAAAATTTGCTGTCACAAGAATGGTAGAAATCTTGAATATATGTAGATTCAAATAAGAATAAATATTTGATTATATCTGCTATAGCGTCTTCATAATTAATTAACAAACTTTGTTATTTCACAAATGACAGCTGGCAAAATAACGTCTACGAAAATGGCCTGTATTTTCGTAAAAAATAGCTCCCACAAGAATGTTAAAAGTAAATATTGATCTTTAATATACGTATATTCAAATAAGCGTAAATATTTGATTATACCTAAAATAATCAAATATATTGAAAGTTTAATAATTAATTTCATTTAAGAAAAATCCAATTCACTTTTTTTCCAATTTCTACAGCTCGTAGCAGGCGACTTGACGACAGCACGAAGATGCCAATAGTTTCGTTGGATTGTGTGGTCGATAATTCATTATCTTGTTGAGAAATTTACGAAAATATAAAAATAATGTAAAAAATCATTTAATTAATAATTTTTACAATAACAGAAATTGAAAGTTTTATAAATTTTGGGAATTGGTATTGGTTTTAAGGTGATTGAAATAAAATACGAACATGTCTAGCATAGATTTATTATGTTTAATACACACATACATCTGATTTATCATATTATTATTTTCTTTATTCCTCTTATAATTTTTTTTGTTGAAACATTGAATATAGTTGAATTTGAATATTTTAGTAAATTACATTGTTACAATAATTATGACACAATCACAACAGCCACGGTTAGATAGTACACGTACATAAAACGCAATGTGCAAATTGAGTTGTTTGCAATTGCGTAAAATGAAACCGATTTTCTCGAAAACACACAAAAAAATATTGTAATTCTCGACTGTTGTTTTCCCCCGAATAAAATTCTTAATCGATTAATATTCTATATAAATATTGAAGAATATACATTTATATATATATTTATACTTTTTTTTTGTTTAATATCATTAAAATTTAACGTTCGGAACGTCTTAAAATCGTTTAAAAATGTTTGGTTTTTTTGCCGGCCCCAGCAACTTCGCGTTTCTACGCGATAACGACCTGACACTGTATATAGATTTTATAGAAAAATATTTTAATCGAAGCATGGATTAAACATTACGTTTCTTCAAAATACTTGTTTTTCTTCTTATTTTTTTTTTATAGTTTTATTTCGTAGCAACGCGAAGTTTCGCTATGGACCATCAGGCGGATATGTTTCGAAAATGGTCTAAGAGCTGCCCTGCTGAAGAATATCGAAAAAAAGAACGACAACTTCTGCATATCTTATGGGAAATTATCGTTCTTCGATAAAAATTAAATCAAGTCACAAAGGGCATTTCGGCGCTCTTCGTAAATATATTTCATATATATAAAGTGTAGGTATCTTCTCTTTTTTTTTTCTATATATTTATATACTAAATGCCATTCATCAATTGCACCTCGCTTGATATTTTCTAAAATTTGCTCTTAAAAGATTTCATTTACTTCTTCAAATTTTGTTCCTCTATATCTTAGGTACGTGTATAGCAAACTCTGCTCATCTCCTATTCCGACTGCCTTCCCAAAAAATTTTTTTTCTTCTTCTCTTCCCTTTAAAACACTTAATTTCGAGTGCATTGACAAATGTTTTAAACGCTAAATATATTTCATGTATAATATAATATCTTCTAACTACTAAATATCGTTTTTTTTTTGTAATATATATATATAATCTCTTTGTTTAACAATTAATGATATGAATGTTTGAAGCTCACAAAATCCTCCTTTTTTCCTTCATCTTCTTAGTAAATACCTTAAATTTGAGTATAATATAGTTAATCATTAATTAACTACTAAAGCATGCGATATAATCCATTAAATTAATATTAGTTTATAATTATAATATTTTTTTTTGGTATATATTTTTTCGACGTTCCTTGGAATCCGTTTCCAGGACAACGCGGAACCGCAAGGGATGGTAGCATCCCCCCTGTCTCGCGGCCCTCCTTGCCCTCAAGGGATCCAGACGCGTCTTGATATACCATAAATTGATATGTTTATAGGCCCTACGTAGGGTGTCCCAAAATCGCGTCCTCGACTTTATCTTTGTGCCCGTACAACTCGAAACTCAGAGTAGAACGGTGAAAATCAAATATTTATAACGACAAACAATATTATTCGCATATTCGAATGTGTAGTGGCTTTTTTAAATTCTTCAAAAACACCGAGAGTTTTAAACATCGAAGAGAGTAAAATTCACAAACTATCGTCCTAATTGCGTTTACATTTAGTGGATCCCAAAGTTTGAGAGAGAAAAAAACCTACTTTGGTGGACTTCTAACGCTACTTTCAGTCATAGTCTGATATGTTTCCATGTTCGCGAGGAGATCACACGACTCCTCCGGTCCTCTTGATATGTATACTGATTTCCTATACCTCTTTTTACTTAACATCTTACTAAAAAAAGCGAAAAAAGCCCAGACAATTATTTTTCCACTAGCGAATTCGTGAGAACAACATTAATAATAGTGCCTTACGTAATTAAAGTGTATGTGTTTATATACGTCTATTATTAGTATTATATAATTATTTTTTTTAATAGCTATAAGGGTTAAAAGCTACCGAACAAACTAAAAATAGATAGATATGTGAGTGTAGTTCTTTTTTTATATATGCTAGCTACGAGAAGGATGTTGCTCGGATGAGCAACCCTTCTTCTAGTAAATCATATACGTGAGTAGCAATAAGCCGACGGCCGATTGGGCTTTGATGCCGACCGCTTTGCTCGTTCCCGACTCGAAGGGCTTGATCACGCACTGCATCTTCTCCAGTGGGAGATTCTGGAGGCTGTACTCGCGGTGCTCGTGGTTCATCATGCAAACCGTGCGTTTCTTCTGCATCATCTCGTCGTCCTTATCGCGGAGACTCTTCAACCAGTTCTTGTACCACTGCAGCTCGCAATCACACATCAAAGGATTATCTACAAACAAAATAAACAACAATTACTTTAAATTACAAACATAAAGGCTAAGACTTATTAATTTTATATAATTAAATTTAAACTGTAAAAATTTTAATACATTTTATGACAATTATTAATATTTTTTTTCATTTCTTTATATTTTATTTAATTACTCAACAAGTAAATAAGACAATTAATTGATATAATACACAAATTAAAGATAAAACTATAGCTTTTCTAATGAGCCTATTATAAGATTTGTGTAATTTCTCATTTTCCTCTAATAAGCTTTCAAATTTGATCAACAAAAGATTTCAATTATAATTAAAAAAAAATAACAAATATATTTTTATAAATTGTATGTAAAGTTTCAAACATATGTTGATATTATATCTAATGACTTTTTAATTATGTATCTTTTGATATAACTACACTAACATACAAATAATTAACGAGAATTGGAATTTTTCGAAAATGTTGCACTTCTTCATATTTTATTTAATTACTCAATGAGTAAATAAAACAATTAATTGATGTAATACACAAATTAAAGATAAAACTATTGCTTTTCTAATGAGCCTACTATAAAATTTGTGTAATTTCTCATTTTCCTCTAATAAGCTTTTACATTTGATCAACAAAAGATTTTAATTATAATAAAAATTTGAAAAAAAAAATTGTTTTTAATTTTATGTAAAATTTCCAATTTTATATTGATATTATATCTAATGACTCTTCAATTATGTATGTTTTGATATAACTACATTTACGTACAAATAATTAACGAGAATTAGAATTTGTCGAAAATTTTGCACTTCTTCATATTTTATTTAATTACTCAACGAGTAAATAAGATAATTAATTGATATAATACACAAATTAAAGATAAAACTATAGCTTTTCTAATGAGCCTATTATAAGATTTGTGTAATTTCTCATTTTCCTCTAATAAGCTTTCAAATTTGATCAACAAAAGATTTCAATTATAATTAAAAAAAAATAACAAATATATTTTTATAAATTGTATGTAATGTTTCAATCTTATATTGATATTATATCTAATGACTCTTCAATTATGTATCTTTTGATATAATTACACTAACATACAAATAATTAACGAAAATTGGAATTTTTCGAAAATTTTGCACTTCTTCATATTTTATTTAATTACTCAACGAGTAAATAAAACAATTTATTGATATAATACACAAATTAAAGATAAAACTATAGCTTTTCTAATGAGCCTATTATAAGATTTGTGTAATTTTTCATTTTCCTCTAATAAACTTTCAAATTTGATCAACAAAAGATTTCAATTATAATTAAAAAAATTAACAAATAAATTTTTATAAATTGTAAGTAAAGTTTCAAACTTATATTGATATTATATCTAATGACTCTTCAATTATGTATCTTTTGATATAACTACACTTACGTACAAATAATTAACGAGAATTGAAATTTTTCGAAAATTTTGCACTTCTTTATATTTAATTTAATTACTCAACAAGTAAATAAGAAAATTAATTGATATAATACACAAATTAAAGATAAAACTATAGCTTTTCTAATGAGCCTATTATAAGATTTGTGTAATTTCTCATTTTCCTCTAATAAGCTTTTACATTTGACCAACAAAAGATTTTAATTATAATAAAAATTTGAAAAAAATATATATTTTTTTTAATTTTATGTAAAATTTCAAACTTTATATTGATATTATATCTAATGACTCTTCAATTATGTATGTTTTGAAATAACTACACTTACCTACAAATAATTAACGAGAATTTTTTAGAAAATTTTGCACTTGTTTATATTTTATTTAATTGCACAAGAAATAAGTACGATAAGTAATTTATCTAATACGGAAATTAAAGACAAAACTATAGCCTTTGTGTATAAGATCTGTATCAGATTTCTGTTATCTTCAGTTTTATTTTAATAAATTTTCAAATTTGATGCTTTCAAATTTTTATGTCACTGAGAAAGTTGTAAAATTGTATACAATTTTTAATAATAATTCTAAAGGAGTTTTCAAATATGAATCTTTTGAAATAATTACCTTTACGTAATGTTAATTACCTTTTTACAGATCTTCACTTTATATCCTTTTTTTGCCTAGAATTTTTAATTTATTGAAGCTGTGTGATATTTTTAATAAGAAATAACAATTTTGGAATCTGTTTAAATTAAGTTATAATATAATACTTTTTTTTCATCTTCAATTATTTGTTAGATGAATAGGAATAATGTGAAACAAAGAAGTTGTTTAATTTAAATGTAGACTAGAATAATGTAATCGAGTTCTATTTCAGGCCGCACAAAATATCTTCCCTCCTCGGTATTCATGACGAAAGTTTTCAAATTATGTGTACACTCTATTATACAGTTTTCGTGTTAAAAGGGGATATGAAGTTTCTCGAACGCAATCTTCAATGCTTTACCAAAAGCATTCAACCAATTGCTCTTTAAAATTCAACATGATTAATAGATAGATTTTATTAATAATTATTTGTTGACTATTGAAATTGAACTTACCCATAATATCAACGACCCGTAAAGTATCGACGATAGGCTCCATAATTTCCTCCGGTATATGCATCAACTTGTTATTCTGCAGATTCAAAGTCTCCAGTGAATTGAGATTCTCGAAGGCGAGGGCTGGTAAACTTTTGATGCTGAAAAACGTAAACACATTTAATAGGAAAATTGAGCCGGAGCAAATGGAAACGTCCTTCTCCATCCTTTTTGTCAGCCTCTCATCTTATACCATATTCATTTATATATATATATATACATTCACTTCTTCTACTACGTGTGTCCATTTATATACATATATATGTAAATACGTGTACGTTTCTGTATTCCGCGCTTCACTTACTCGTTTTTCTGCAAATTCAAGAAGGTAATGGAATCCCCGAAGCCGGCGAACGCGTCCTCCGCAATGAAGCTAATGTTATTCGAACGCAAATCCAAATGCCTCAGACGGTGCAATCTTCTCAGTGCATTCGTTGGGATCGTGTGGATATTGTTGTCTCCCAATCTCAAATATTGAAGATTTTCTATATTCACAAAAAAAAACACATCTAAAGTATATTTTCATAATAGATTTCTATGTTTTGTTTTTCTTATAAAATAAAGAATTTAACTATTTTCAATATATACAAATATAGAATTTTGTATCTATGTTTATCGATGTTATGAATACATGAAGTGAAATGGATTTTACATATTTAATGCGATTGTCCAGCACGGAAATTGTGCGCTAATATTTTGGTTTCGTCCACAATTTCGTTTCATGATTCACTGGAATTTATTCCCATAATCACGTTTTCGAACGCCAATTTCTATTCAATGTCCAACGCAGACCGTAGACCACAATGTACACTGTTATTTCGTTCAAAGTAAATTGAAAAATCAAACGTTTCCTTTTTTCCAATTTCTACATGCAATTAACTTTCATATATTTTTCTTTAAAAAAAAAACAGCTACAGTCCTTCTGGCAGTTCATGGGACAAAATAAATAGTAAACATAACAATACAAGAAAAGTATAATTTATCAAATTTAACCTGAAGTTAAGTTTAACAATTAAGAATCTCACAGTTTTGCGTTCATTTACATCGATGAATTAGAATTGATTGCTAAATTATACGATCATAATTCGCGTGCAGTCATACATTTAAGCTGCGCAAATTCGAATTTAGTATCAGTATTAATCAGCGATGACAGAAGGGCTCATGAATCGACCGGAACACGCGAGCAAATTTCATCGGAAACCCTCTATTTTGCATAATACGTCCATTCACCACCACCAACAACAAAACCAAAATAAATCCGTTCGCAGAAAACTTGCACTTACAGCACAAAAATCCTTGTTATTTCCATCCCACAAACAGTAATTTAAATGAGGTAAAGATCTTGTTGCTGCTGCAACTATTACTCGTTTTTTTTTTACAGCATTAATTCATAATTTTCGTGATTTACGATCTCCACCATCCGACTGGGTGTGTTTTAATAATCCACGGCGCAGTTTCAGAATTATTACACATATTTCATTCCGCCCTTGGGAATACGCAACTCGTTTTTTCGCTCTCGCTGTTGTTGTTGTTGTTATTTTTTTAATTACTTAGTTAATTGGTCTGCATAAAACTCAATATCGCATTCCAGTCGCATTATGAAATATTTAATTGTTTTTTTAAATAAATCTTTCCTTACTTTACCTGCAGGTGTATTATTACCAACGTTCATAATTACATGCTACCGTTTCCATTTGTTACTTAACAACATCCATCATGCAATTAAAATACAAGAAAAAATATACAAATTTAATAAAAGAAATATTGATGTAAAAATGTAAGTTTAAATAAGTGAACATACTGAAGGAATATCGGATGTTTCTTGTAAGTTTTTCAGGAAAAATAGCAGCACTTCGACGTATTTAGAGTAGCTGTCTTCTTTTGTAAAGGAAATTGCAGAGAACATGACATCTGCAACGTAAGTGCATGAAACACTCTATGCAAAGTGCTTTATAAGCTGGATACACCTTAATGAACGTGAACTTTCAACCGAAGATATTTGCATTCGAAACTTGTAAGACTTAGCAGCTCCGCGTTAAATTTCATAACGAAGAGTGTTTTTCCCATTCATTAAAACATCCATTACTAATTCAGTTCAACGTAATTAAATTCTTCCTCTCTCAAACGAAGATTCTTTTTACGTTTCCTAAGAATTAACTATTTACTAACGGTTTAATCTACTTTGTGCGCTCTCTTGTTTTTTTCGAGGGTAGCTTAATAAAAGGGCCAAATTGCCTTTTCTTCTCTTGGAATTAATAGAGAAACGTCCAAAGTTGTTTTTTTCACTCTAAAAAGGACGTTCTGGCCTTCATAAGTCTTGGAGTTTGAAATTGAATTGCGATAGTTTTATGTTGTCCTTAATCGAGTTTCTCCTTAAAGTTGCTGCGATCATGGCAAGTTGCAAAAGTCGCGCAGATATGAAATTGAATTTAAGCTGTAGTTAATTCAATTTTTGCTTCGCCCTTCGTTTTATGCTACAGGCATAAACTTTGGATTTTGTTTTTTTTTTACCTTCGAGTCCTGCGAATGCGTCCTCATCGATGTACACGATGCTGTTACCATCCATTTCGAGCGAATTGAGGAGGCTGAGATGCGAGAAGACTCTGGATGGAACCTCGGTCAATTTGTTGTGGGCCAAGCCGAGGGAATCCAAGTTCCTGAGACCTAGAGGAAATGAGATTTAGATATTAGATGCCAAAACCATACGCGCTGTTGCGCCAAGTTCGAGAATTGCGAACAGCTCATGAAGGAGGAGGAGGAGACGGCTGCAATTTGCATATTCCAACAATGGCCCTTAAGCTTTACGGGGCCGACACGCCGGAGCTCCGAAAGGGCCTTAATCCGCGCAGCTTAATGATTCTAATTATATCCGCGACGGCCGCTGCACACCACTTGCGCAATTAACAGTTTTCTTTGGTTTCCTCTTGCTTCGTCCAATTAAACACACAACGTAAATAATTTGTACAGGAATATCTTCCAAAGTTTATGCACTTTATCAAATTCCAATTACAATATTTATTATAATTAACAATTATAAGTTTTATTTACTCTAGTTAAGAATTGTTAAAAAAGCTACAAATTATTTCTTAGTATTGTATTTTCGTTATACATAATTCATACGACGCGAAAAGTTTCCAAGTTTCCTTCTTCTCTCTCTCTACCTTTTCTTTTTTTTATTATTAATGATTTTGCAAATTGCGAAGTTTCTAAAGCGTCCCCCGTTTGTCTAGGGGATGACAAAAGTTTAAATGAGTTCTTTCTCTCCTAATTCGTGCTGACACAAAAGCTGATGGTTCCATTTCGGTAAACGTGAAAAGCGTTTCCGGAACACATATTTCCTTTTTTCCGTTTCCTTTTCCAAACACACATGAACTTGAATAAAGAAAAAACAAGTTGAGTAAGAATAGAAAGAAAATCAATAATTACATAATTCAGCAAGAAAAATATGTAAATATTATTCATTTAAACAAAGATTTGCATTCTTTTATGAAACATAGATTTAAAAAAAAGTTTAGTAAATCAACAAAGAAATATTTTTTTGTAAAATAAAAACTTATTACGAAAAGGCAAAAACTGATGTAAAATTCATATATTATAGATGATTTTCAGAGAATGAAAGAAAAAAATCGTTATGTTAATCATCATTAAATCTATTGGAAAAGAAACCCTTAATAAATTATTTAATAATGAGTATTATTATCGAAAATATTCATTTATGTTTGTTTTTTTTTTCTCTCTCACAGGTTATAACTGGTAATTTTCATTTATCATGCAATGTTTATAAATATTTTATGAAGATGTTAACGTACATTAGCATTAACGATTATTATTATGCAGGTAGCATTATGCTTTAGTTCATTTTGTGATATTTCCTTTAATATTTTAGTGTTTTTCAGTTCAATGAAGCAAATGTTATAGATGTTTGGAATACAAAGAGAAGGCACATGAACTTGAATAAAGAAAACAAGTTGAGTAAGAATAGAAAGAAAATCAATAATTACATAATTCAGCAAGAAAAAATTGTAAATATTATTCATTTAAACAAAGATTTGCATTCTTTTATGAAACAACAAAAAAATATTTTTTTGTAAAATAAAAACTTATTACGAAAAGGCAACAAAGAGAAAACGTAAATATGTTGAATATTTTGTAAAATTCATATGTTATAAATGATTTAGAGAGAATGAAAAAAAAAATCGTTATGTTAATCATCATTAAATCTATTGGAAAAGAAACTCTTTATAAATTATTTAATAATGAGTATTATTATCGAAAATATTCATTTATGTTTGTTTTTTTTTTCTCTCTCTCATTTATTATGCAATGTTTATAAATATTTTATGAAGATGTTAACGTACATTAGCATTAACGATTATTATTATGCAGGTCGCATTAAGGTTTAATTCATTTTGTGATATTTCCTTTAATATTTTAGTGTTTTTCAGTTCAATGAAGCAGATGTTATAGATGTTTGGAATACAAAGAAAATGCAGTGAAATATTGAGATCTGTACAACGTATGCATTTATGATGTAGAGGAAAGGTTGTTCAAATATTCATGCGAATGGATGGAAGGATTGGCTTGAAGCTTGGATATAAAGCAGCTCGATTTCGTATTCTTAATATCCTTTACATTGTGGTGTTTTATCATCCAAAATGGGACTACTTGAGTTATTATTCATTGGGAAATCGAGCGAAGATGAATTGTTGTTTTACTCAACGAATATTTCATAATTTTATGTAAATTTACCTTCGAAGTCGCCTTCTCTGATTTCGGTCAAACGATTCTCCTGCATCTCGAGTTTCTTCAGAGTGTCCAAGATGGAAAGCGCCTTTTGCGGTACAGATGTAAGTCCGTTGCCTCCTAAATTCAATCTCTTCAGTTTCCTGAAATATACACAAAAAAAATAGTGTTAGAATGTATGAAAAGATGTACGAGTTTTTATTTATTACTTTTCCAAGCCGGTGAATGCTTCTGCGTCGATCGAAGTGATCTTGTTCTCGTATAGAGTGAGTATTTCTAACGTGTCCAAGCCTTCGAACGCTTTCGCATGCAAACTTCCGATCTTGTTGTGGTTCATGTTCAGGATGAGGAGCTGATGTAGGTTCTTGTAGGCCGCCGATGGTACCGAAGTCAGACTGTTCTGCGAGACGTCCAGTTGCGTAAGCATTTTACCTGTTGAAGCATAATTAATGGTTAGATCGATGATTCCAGTATTGGGGATGGTTACCGATGGAGCTTAGAGATGCCTCCTCCACAACGGACAAGCTGCTGTTGTGGATGGTCAAATGGCGGATGTCGAGTCCTAAGAAGACGAAACCCGGCAGCTTACGGAGGTTGTTGTGCCGTAATTTAAGGTAGAAAATGACCAGGGACTTCCCCTTCAGCACTCCCATCGCGTTCGAGATGTGCTGCTGATCCGTGAACTCGCACAGTATATCCAGGCCATTCTTCTTCACGGAACATTGGCACGGAGATATCTCCCCCCTCGGTGGACATTGCTGCTGAACCTGGGAACGACCAAGTTAATGGCACAAATTATTCTCCAAACCTAATACATTTTCTTTTTCTGCACTTTCATTCTTTTTTTTTCTTCTTCTTCTCTTCTATTAGGTGATTTATACCAGAAACTCTCCCCTAACTTTATAAATTAGATTATTTCTCTCCCCTTACGAGCAAAATACAAAAAAAAAACAGTGATAAATAGAGTTGTAATCTTATTCGTTACGTAAAGTTCACTTTTGGTCAACGTGTGTTTTTGCGGGGGTGGACCTAATTCCAGACGCAACACCCTTGTTGTATACATTTCCAACCATCCCTTCCGAAAATGTATAACTCACTTGCAAATCCCGTCGATTCGGCTAAGCTTTAACTTGTCGATTCAGGAACGCCCGACTCCACCGATAAATCAAACCACCTCAACGTTTCCGCATCCCATCCAATCCACAAATAAACCCCCTCATCCCACCAACCCTTGCCAAATGTAAATTCCGTTTGAACAACAGATTTCCAAACTGTACCCTACTTTAACTTTAACGCGGATAGACGAAAGCGCATTTCAAAAGCCAACTTCCATTATTATATAATGGAATCCATAAATATTTTACCAATAAATTGAAAAAAACTGCATTATTTTCATGTCTTCACGTTTCATTTAACTATTTGATAATTAAGAAAACTATGACCTTTCCAATAAGCCAAATATCAGATTTCTTTTCATTACTAAATTCCTTTAATTAGCAATTAAAAGTGAGGGAATGACTTTAATAATAATTATAAATAAATAGAATCCTACTATCATAAAGCTGCATTAAAGCTCTTAGATTATATAATTTTACAAATAAATTGAAAAAAACTGCATTATTTTCATGTCTTTACGTTTCATTTAACTATTTGATAATTAAGAAAACTATGACCTTTCCAATAAGCCAAATATCAGATTTATGTTCATTACTGCATTTCTTTAATTAACAATTAAAAGTGAGGGAATGACTTAAATAATAATTATAAATAAATAGAATCCTACTATCATAAAGCTGAATTAAAGCCCTTAGATTATATAATTTAACGAACAATCTTATTGTCTCTATCTTGACTCCACTTTGGGTTTAAGTGTTTCTCCAGAAAAAGGTCGTTCCCGCTGAGAGGGATAAGAATAAGTCATAACGGCCTTAAACGACGTTAATTTTAATTACCACACTTTTATGGCACTCCTGGTTTCCAACCTTTGTTAACTATATGTACGTTTTCCAGGATTATATCCATTTCCCTGGTACTTAGAACAGCTTCACGAAATACTCGAGTCCACTCTGAATTTAACCTGTCTTTTTCACTTAATTTATTTACACCTTTATTACCTCAAACATGATCTAACAGTTTCAGGTTTTCAGTTTTTTTTTATATAACTATAATCTAGTTAAGGATAAATTACTTGCAGATTACTGAATAAAACATGAATAAACATATTATATTATATTTACAGGAAACTCAATTATAAAGTAATTTGCGTTCGAAATTTTCTTGGATCGAAACGGTGTTTACGGTTTACTTATTTATTTTTTATAGCTATTACGAAGCTGTCGCATCGGGAAAGTCAGCAAATTGACAACCGGAAGCTTCCATCCGATCAATATTTATTTCCTCCCTCTGCGCTTCAAAATCATCTTCGATTTTTACGTTCAACGACTCGTGATCATCTTCAACTCAATTTTGTTACAATCTTATGATTTTTTTTTTATAAAATTATATATAAATCTAATTTTCAGTTATGAAACACACATAAAATGAAAGAAATTCATCAAAAGCCAAATCATTTCTATGTAGAAACGTAATCAGTTTTTTCTCTGCACGAAATCTATTATTACTAGTTTTGTTCAGTTTGATTCCAGATAATAAACTCAACTACAATACTTCTGTTCTCGAAACAACAGTTAATTTCAGTTATTAGTACTACTTATTTATTTCTTTTATTCACAAACCAGGCAAACCTTACGTAATGATCGAGAAGAGCAATTTTTCCATGCGTGTTTGCAGTTTTCTTTCCAACTGTTTCCTTGTAAATACGCATTTGTTGTGTGCTCGCACGACCTTTCAGAGTTTCAAATCTTTTGTGCTATTATAGAACATGACAGGTTTAACGAGAAAATCAATGCCACACAGTCAGGCAGCGTTTTCCACGTGACCTTTTTCTTCCTACTCTTCGCACGATTTCCGAACATCAATTAAAACCCGAGGCAAATTAATTATTGATTTGCGTAATCTTTCATCCATACACCAAAGAAAAAAAAAACGAAACGAAAATGGAAAGCGGTTTTTCCGGGTTTTTTTTTTTCGATAAGCGAAGCCTGGAAAAGATTGATGTGGGTCTGAAATTAATTATCGTGTAGTTGGTTACGTGCGTGTGCACAGAGAGTTTCGGTGCCTTTTCATTACGCGTTTGTCCGAACGAATCAATACTATGATCATCATCGTATCCAAAGGTTCATCCCGTTTTACTCTCTCATCAGTCCGGATTAATGACACTGTTGTTTGATGTACGTAAAGCCCAAGGGATGAGCTAAAAAATCTTCGCGTTTGGGTATTTCCAAACTTAAATTAACTTGCCATACCCTTATCACATTCATATCTCTAATAATAATCCATGGATTATCCAAATTGAATATATTACAGATTTTAGTTAGTTTCCTTCTATATAATAGTTAATATTTCAACATTATTAAATAAAAATAACTGAAAAAATCGTATCAAAACCAATGATTTAGAAAACTCTTTCCTAACAGATGAAAGTTTAGGATGATTCAATTGGGAAAAAATTAAATTACACTGTGATAGTTTTCTAATAAATTCATCATAATAATCGATTGAAAAGTAGTTGTGGTTTCGAAATTGACACATTCATCATTTACGCGTTTCAGTATTCCTCCTGTAAACCTCGTGTTGTTTTTCGATGTAATTCAATAGTGCGAAACTGGATATTTGTATATTTGATGAACCGAATGCATTCGCATGATGAAACATTTGATGTGGTAGTCGCATTCATTCGATGAAAGTGGACACGCAAATTGTCGATTCCGCCAGCAATTCGCAAATATAATTCAAATAAAAGCAAACCTATACAATTTCACTCAACATGCATATAATGTTCGTTAAATAAACATTAATTAAATGTAGTTTTTTATTATTTTTTGATCATTTATTTACAATTATTCTAGTACATTAAGTAATGATTCAAAAATTTCATTTAAATTTAAAAAAAAAAGTTTTCAAATTATTCAAAAAAAGACTTCTTTCTTTCGTAAAAGATAAATAATTATGTGATTCAAACATATTTAATTTCTCATTATTATATAATTTCTTTATCTAAATTTGCACAGTTTTTTTTATATTTAATTATGAAAAATCATGGATATACTTAAAACTTTTTGGATTTATCTTTAAGCCTTTTACTACATGTAAGCATGTATTTCTTTCTTTCATATTATTTTGTTGCAAGCATAAAATCTTCCATAAAAAAAAACATTCTCCCGTATATACCAAAAGCGTAACGGGAATAACGGCGTCTGCAATTCGCTACGAAATTGTTGTCCACGTCCAACAATCTCCATTTCATTTATTGCCGGAGATGCACGGAGTCGTAACAATCTGTTTTTTTTTTATTCAACCCTTGCGTAAATATTTTATATAAATTCTACATTGATTCACAGAAACGACATCTCGTAAAGCTCCGAACTGCCCGGCAACAAGAAGCAAAAGAAAACATTCGTCTATACACAACAATTGTTGCACGCTGCTATTGTTGATTCGTTGAGTTCACAGCTCTGTTTAATGCAAGTACGAATAATGAAGCAATCTTTAAAGTATTAACCAAAAGTGTCACAGATTTTGTACAAAAAGATATAAAATATTTAAGTTTTTCAAATTGTTCAATGATCCAAATCTAATGATTTGTAAATTATGTTTATGCTAAAACTAATATATTTTAAACCGTAAGTACTACAATGGGTCAATGTGACCCATTTGATGTTTGCTTGATTAATTATGAGGGTTAACCTTATTGTTTTTCTAGTATTTTCGAATGCACTTGGCAAAGTAGTCGAGACAAGAGGTACTTATGTTATTGTAGAGTGTATTTAAGGTCAAAATGACCCGTCTATAGCAAATTCGACCTTGAAATATCATTAATATTGGGATTTCAAAGTGGAATTACTTTGGTTTCACATGTATTAAATCAGTAATTCTGATATCCAGTATGTGCCACACTAATATTTAATAAACGGGTCATTTTGACCCATTATATAATATTCCATACGTATTGATTGACGAATCTATACCATCGTCATCATCGAATCCAAAGGATCATCCCGTTTTACTCTCTCATCAGTCCGGATTAATGACACTGTTGTTTGATGTACGTAAAGCCCAAGGGATGATCTAAAAAATCTTCGAGTTTGGGTATTTCCAAACTGAAATTAACTTGCCATACCCTTATTAGATTCATCTCTCTAATAAAACACACAGCTGGATTATCCTAATTGAATATATTACTTCATACAAATTTTAGTTAGTTTCCTTCAAAATATTAGTTAATATTTCAACATTATTAAATCGTATCAAAACCAATGTTAATTTTATCTTTCTGAAAAGATGATTTACAAAACTCTTTCCTAACTGATGAAATTTTAGGATGATTCAATTGGAAAAATAAAGTATTTCAAATTATTCAATGATCCAAATCCAACGATTTGTAAATTATATTAATAGAAATTCAAAAAATTAATATAATGCAAGCGTTTGTGTTAAAACTAATATATTTTAAATCGTAAGTACTACAATGGGTCAAAGTGACCCATTTGATGTTTGCTTGATTAATTGTGAGTGTTAACCTTATTGTTATTCTAGTGTTTTCGAATGCACTTGGCAAAGTAGTCGAGACAAGAAGTACTTATTTTATTGTAGAGTGTATTTAAGGTCAAAATGACCCATGTATAGCAAATACAATCTTGAAATGTCATTAATATTGGGAATAGAAAATGGAATTACTTTAGTTTCACATGTACCAAATCGGAGAAAATCAGTAATTCTGATATCCAGTTTGTACCACACTAATATTTAACAAACGGGTCATTTTGACCCATTATATTCATTATATAATATTCCATACGTATTGATTGAGTAGGTAATAAAGAAGGTGATGATGATTGAATCGATACAATAACACTTGTAACATTAATAAATTGCCGATGCTTTCGTTTGATCGATTTATCATTAATCATACTCATACGTAATCCTTTGTCACCTGCACGATGATGCACAGTTCTAATTCGGATTACGTGGCTCGCATGTAACCGAAAAAAAAGAGTAAATAAATACACGCCAGACATGGAAATCCCCGAAGAGTCGCAGGATATAAATTGCTCGGAGACTCGAACGCTGTTTACTTAATTTCCCGGTCAGCGACATTCTTTTCGCGATTGCATAACGTTCGTTTTTTCTCTCTTTATTTGCTAAACAGTATTAAGCGGTAAATCACAAGCAAACATGACTTTATTCATGGCTCCGATAAATCGCGAAATGTTACAGAACAAACGTTAAAGTTTTTGAAGTAATTTATTATTATATATATAAAAGTTAGTTGGAGTTAGTTTTTAAAAAGGAGATAATTTCGCATACTTTTAACGACGCCAAACGCATTAGTCAGGTTTTCTTTAATGATCGGTATAATAAATATTGCATTACGACACTCGTGAAAGTTAGTGTTAAAATTTTTAAATAATAATCGTGCGTTAAAATTACGAACATTAACACTAAACTTATATATGTGGAATAATATTTTAACGAGATAATTACGTTTGTTCAAATTACATCATAGAAAAGTATTAAAGATAAAAAAAAACAAACTTTTAATGCTTAATATTACATATTTTTTTGCATTTATATAAAATTGAAGTTTTAGAATATTTAAACAATTGTTAAAGTTAACAATATTTATTGAAATTTATATGTAAATGAAATGAAATAATAAATTTTATTAAAGATAATTAAATTATTTTAATTAGTTTCAACGAAATTGTCATTTGCAAGGTTTTATTCTAGTTCATTTTGTTTAAGTAAATAATGTATGTTGATGTTTCGTGGAATTAAGAGCTTTTCTCTTATTTAGGTCAGTATAAATGACGTCCATTTATCACACCCTGCTGCAAAATGAATCCTCCTGAGTTACATCCACAGGTTTTCAGAACGTTTCAGAATTACCTTCATTCTTTATTTACAATAAATAAATGTTCTAATCTTCTTAAATTCAGTTGAAAAAACAATAGACTTGTAAATCATATTGTTAATTAATTGATTAAGTTAATTTTATAATCAAGTTAAGTAAAATAATAATCAATAAACAATTTCAGGAAGATTTACTAGAATTTGTATTATTAAAGTTCCCAAATTTCACACTTATCGAAATACGTTTTAAGTTTATATTTTGTTTAGTGATGGGGTACATGTTGGCATTTTACTGAAAAATCAAGCGTTAGCTACTTTTGTATTAGTTAAATACTACAAAATTTAACATGATTTGTAAATAATTCAAGTATAAAGTTAATATTTTTCAAACTACAAAAACATGTTGTATAAATGAAGAAGTTGTTGGTTTCTTACCTCGCACGTGGCCAGAGCGCACAGCCCAGCCAACACAGCCCACGCCCATCTGACCACCCGCACTCTGGCCATGCTCTCTGGGTCTTTGGCCTCGGGCTATGCCATCACACCAATCCGTCTTTTCAATCTGAAAATCAAGAGAAAAGATATAAAGAAACATGAAACGAAATTTCAGAAATGCGAAGCTGAGGAAACCTTGTTCCTCGGTAAGGACATATCCGTTACATTTATAAAATTAAATTTTCTTATCCATCTTCACTACTTCTACTGCTTCTGCTGCTGCATGACGAAACACAATTTTCTTTTATTCGATTCCTCCTCACGAAAATTGAATCGCCTACATCCTAGACACGAATATCATCCCAACTCAACCTTATTCAATATAAAACATTCACATCCTTCATCAAAAATTACTACAAAAAGAATCCACATTCAGAAAAATGTTACTATCATCAAAAAATATTCTTAGTAAGAAAAGTTTTTTTTTTTAAATTAAAGTAAATTCGTAATTATTTCAATGTTTGTTTATAAAATCTATATAAAATTTGACTAACATAAGAAAAAACGTATTATTTAAAAAATAACATGAAAATACAGCAGATTTACTTAATTTCACGATGAAAAATAAACAAAAATGTGTTTGCTACAAGATGATTGTGTTGGTTTTGTAAACTTCTTTTTGCTCCGGTTTTTGGTTTGGTGGCCTCAGGGGTTGAAACATAATTAGGGTGGATCCATTACGTTTCAATATTTAATGCGAAGGACCTCCGGTCGATGGCATTTTGCGACGCGCGTAAATATTGTATGGTTTCATTAAAAATTGAATCTGGCATTAACGGCGCATTACTTTGATTAACTCCAACGCTGATCTATTTTAGATTATGTTTAAGTACACGATAAATCATCGAGAATTTTGCTAATAGCAAACCCACACGAAATATTCAATATATACTATTTATAGATTTAAGTTATCCTTTTATAACAGAGTCTTAAGTAAATTAGATTACTTTCTTAATCGATTTTATCTAATTTCCTAATTAAATCAATGCATGCCATAAAATTATATCTAATTATTACAGATAATTAATCTGTAATTAAACAAAATGTGATTGATTTGTATAAAAATGATTATGTTACATAATTTTTTGTTACATATTAAACCGAGGTGAAATCAGAAGTGAAATATGTATAATGATTAATATCAGATTACGAATTGTGTCTGAATTCACCTGAATATTGCCTTCCTCGAAAACAGAGATAAACATCGAAATACCAGTTGTATTTTATGGTAAAGTGAGTGGAAAAAATAATATCTACATATGCACGTTCCCACACAAATCATGATACAGCCATTGTCGTAATCAAAGTACTCCAAACTCGTGTAATTCCTATCATACACAAACATTTTTTTTCTATTGTATTGAATTATATAACATGCACATCACTGTCGTTTCATGTGGGTGAATTTGTACAATATATTTACGTATAAAGGATGTTTTTTATATAACGAAATAAATGAGTTCATTTTTTATTTGTTATATAACAACAATATTTTGTTGCATATATGAAAACACGTAGAAAATGAAATTATTCATAGCAAAATATCAATTGTTGTAGTATTGGCCAATTTATATAAAAAATAATGATTTATTTGTATGCACATTTCATTTAATTACTCGATAAACAGTAAAATTCAATAGATCAATGATTGAGTAAATCAAAGATAAAACTATGACCTTTTTAATAAATATATTAAGACTTTTGTAGTGTTTCCAGATTTCTTGTAATAAACTTTTAAATATTTTTCAATCACTTATTTTATTTTCCATAATAATTCAAAAACTAATAATACTTTTGTTGTTATTTTATTATTGCATTATAAAGAGTATAAAATTAAGCAACTAATGATGATTAATACGTTTCAAAATGTTCAATAATTATTTAAATATTAATAATTTTTTTTTAGTATAATTTTTCAATTTATTTTCATCTTGTGTTAATAATAATTGGTATTTTTATACCAATTATTAGATAATAAGTAAATAATGTTTTTTTATGAGAAATTGAATCAATTTTGGAAAGTTTGGATCAACAATTTCAATTTTCGCAGAAAGTAAATCGTGTTTTTATTGCGCTCTAAATTTTGGAAATTGTAATAATAATAATAATAACAACGTTCGCATCCATCTATATTCATGCATGCACGGGATGGGTTTAACTGTTTTGCGAAATGAACGTTTCGGCGTCAGTTTTCATTGGAAATTTCAGATGAACGATCGCAATCAATCGTCAAGGGATATTTCGCGCATTTGGAAATTGTGCGCGAAAATCCTTATGCATCATTTTCCATGCTTATCAACTCTCTCTCTCTCTTGCAAACCCATCCCGAAATCGGCTTCGCCCATCGGCAAAACACATAAATTTCAACGGCGTGTCCATTATTAAGTTCGCAAAGTGTAGACCATTAATTCGAAATGCGAACGCGAAACCCATTTCAGTTTCATCTACAACCCCCAACCCTCTTGCCATACTCTATTTTCTTGTTTTTTTTTGTTTAGTTTTGTTACACGCTCGCCCTTGCAAAATCCATTAATCACCCTCAGCTCAAAAAAAAAAGAAACGAACAAATATCAACTTCGGACAAAAACATTCATATGCATCAGTTTTAGTACAATTGTTGTGAAATGTAAAAAAAAAAGTTTCGATGTAATGACATTGATACTTGTCCAATTACTTGACAAGTACTAAAGATGTATTTACATTATACCAATTACCCAATTATTATATGTTTTTTGCACTTATTTCATAGTATTTCTATGGTATTGAAATTAGAAATTCCATAAAATTTATGTAAGATTTCTAAGATATTTCTATGTAAATTTGAAGATGTTTATGTAAATTTCTAAAAATATGTTTGCACATTTGAGGAGAAAACAATTTATTTCACTATTCTCGAAAAACATCAGTTTTAGTACAATTGTTGTGTAATGTAATTTTTTAAGTTTCGATGCAATGACATTAATACTTGTCCAATTACTTGACAAGTACTAAAGATGTATTTACATTATACCAATTACCCAATTATTATATGTTTTTTGCACTTATTTCATAGTATTTGTATGGTATTGAAATTAGAAATTCCATAAAATTTATGTAAGATTTCTAAGATATTTCTATGTAAATTTCTAAAAATATGTTTGCTATATTTGAGGAGAAAACAATTTATTTCACTATTCTCGAAAAACGATAAATTCTCATGTTGCGGTAAAGTAAGTTAATACAGGCGAAAGACATATGAACTACGTGTTTGGAAAGCTGAGGTAAGGGATGAAATTGTAGGCAATATATTATCGTACAGTCCGCAATTGTGGAAATTGAAACTGGAGAGAGTTCCAATAACAAAGAAAAAAGCTCTTGGGATCTCAACGAAAGAGGTTTGGATCTAAGAGAGCGAAAAAAAGAATATAAAGTGAAAGTGACAGTGAAAACGGTGCAGAGATTCTCCAACGAAGCGTGGAATGAGAGGATAATGCAGGAAAGAAAAAAAGGGAGAAAATTAGGTTATAGGGTAAAATGTTAGCGACGGAAAAATCAAAGGAAAGAAAAACAGTTTCAAACGAAAAATTATTAACTCAAATTATATAAAATAATTACATAAAGTGATGTAGATTTTATGACTTTATGACTATAAAAATTTGTATATTTTATTATGATTAAATCTATGAAACTTACCAATTTTTATTAGAATTATTATGTAACTTTATAACTAATCAAATGCAATAAATTATGTAATTATTTACGAAATAAAAAGATAAATCTACGCGGTTAACAAATCCAATTAAAAAAAAAAAACTGTGTATATTTTAATTAACGATTCGCACTTTGCAGTAATTGGAATTGTTTAATTGAAAATTTCGAATGAAACTTTTCGGATGTAATTTTGGTCAAACCGAAGCGAAACGAGAATCAGACTGGAATAAATAAATAAATACATGATTAGTTTCATTTATAAAAAAAAAATGTATTCACAGTAAACAAGTCTGATGTCATCATTAAATTCGTATAATAAATTACATGTTTGTGTGCATCAACACAACGACGTGAAATTATTATTGAATACTTCTTTTATCTGTTCGCTCGTTGCATAAGAAACACTGTTTATCATTTGTAATTATGTAAACAAATTTATTTTTAATGTGTATACAAATTAAAATAGTTGTTTATTAAGTCAATAATTAATGTTTTCATTGGCTCATATTTATAGACAAATATTTGTTAAATAAATTATATATTTTTTGTTTCTAGCTGTGAAATTTAATGCAATTTGCAGCCTCGAACGTAATTCATTACATTTCTCTTCGCCTATCAAATCAATGTCAATTTACCACGTTGAAACCGGTGAAATTGGAACATGTGAGTAATTAATGTATGGAGAATCCAATGTGCGGAAATCAGTGCAAATTTAAGACGAATTTCCGTTTTATTCTCATCGATAATCGAAGTTTCATTTAATCTAAATTTTGTATGAAGATAATAAAGTTTATTATTACATAATTAGATTTTGTTTCAGTATATAATTAAAGTAATATTTTAATTGGAGTAATATTTATAAATTGGAGTAAAACTTAATTAATTTAATTGCAAAAAAACGCTGTAATAAATTCTTGTTTTTTTGTTGTTCTGTTGTAATTGCAAATGCAAGCTTCGCCTATTTTTTTGGATGCACGTCGGGAATACCTGAGGATGAAGCGCAATAAATTCCGAGTGGGTTGATTAATTTGCAAGAGTGACTCGAAACGTGTGCAATAAATTAAGAATTCCGAGCGCGTCAAGAGAAAAGTGCAGCGAAAATGTGCTGAAGTTGAAAAATATAGAAGGAGAATCTGTTTTAAAAATCCGAAGGTGGCTGGGAACAAGCGCTCAACTAGGGATTAAGGAGGAATGTAAATAACGATAGAGATCACGTTTTGTTGGGGGAGGGATGAGGATGAAAGAGAAAGAAAGGAGAGGAATCAATACTTTGATGAGAGAGCTGAATTTACTTTGCGAATTACAAAAGTATATTTAACGTTATATAAAAAAGAACTGGAGGATTCATTCATGAAAATAACGAAGAAAAACATGTTTGTCTTTCAGATAATTGAATAAATTTCGCGGAGCGAAATAACAAGGGTAATTATAACTGAATTCTTTCTACTTTATGAATAGAAATGAAATCTTTTTGAATAGAAACTAACATTGTAGATTGATTCAATTTATTGAATTAACTCAATTAATTGAATTGCTGGAGTTCTCCAATTAGAAAAGGATGTTTCAAGTAATAAGGGTTGTTCAAACTTTTTTTTTTAACTATCTCATTATGAACACGATCGGTACGGTAATTTGAATCGTCTAGTTTGTTTGGGTTTTTCTCTCTCTCTCTCTATCTTTGATGTAACGACCGGAAAGTTTTCACATTACAATTTTTTTTTTTCAAATCAATATACATTAAGGTTTTACTTTACCATTTTAACATTTGCTGTATGGAATTAATTAATTAAATATTAAATATTTGTATACATTATACAAATGTATTGAAGAGTACAAATTATTAATAATATCCAGAATTAGTACATGAAAATCAATAGTTTATCAATTATATACATATACTTAAATACGCATATTTCTCATTATATATTTAAAAGTACGACTATCGACAAATTTTCGTTTCGACGAATTTCTCAATTGGGAAATTTTTCTCATCAGCCAAGACGATATTTGGTAATTGGCTGCGTTCGTGCAAGCGCATCGGTGAGTCATCACTTTGAGTTCGATTTGGAGTATTTGTCGCGGATTTCATTTCATGCCTTAAGTTTCCGAACAACTTCTACCACAGATTTAGTTTTCTTCCGATCTAGCATGTATCGATATATTACTGTGGTTTCTTCAGTTTGGCTGTAATTCGTGTTCAAAATTAAAAAAATGCTCGAAAAAGCAGTGTTTTTA